CACCAATGCCAGAAGCATGGGCCACCCCCTGAAAATGACACAATAGATTCAGAAAGGAGAATTATCTTTGTTACAAAGAGCCCATGCCAGGCCACACGACAAGGGACACGTAGCAGGACACTAGCCAGGGGCTTGGGGCTTTTTAGGGGGAGAGCTTTGGAGCAAGGCTCCCTGTAACACAGAGCCCATGCAGGGACTCAGCATCCACCAAAACAAGAAGGTAATTGAAGGGACAGAAGGACTGAAGGAACAGTGCTGCTCTGTTGAGGGCATGTTGGGGTCAAAGTGGGGTCAGAGACTTATTTCCTATGATGTCAAAGAGCTGAGGAGTCCCATACACCCCAAATACACTCGGCATGGAGCATCCTCTGCCCTCACTCACCCCTTGTGGCACGAGTCAGAAATAGGCACGGTGAGAGAAGAGCTCCCTTCCAGCACTACAAAAGGCGTGAAAGTCAAACGAGGTGTGCCCACCTACCTCCTTGGAGCACCAGGCACACTTGGGGTGGATGAGGAGACACTCTTCACAGGATGTGGCGCTTCCACTGGTGCACAGATTGAGACCTTCAGCAAGAGAGAACAGTATGGGCTGAATGGTTATTCCACTCCAAAACAGTGTTTAGGGGGGTTCTGAGACATTCTTAATGCTAAATGCACTGTAAATTCAAATGAGAGCAAATAGTCTCCCAGGATCCTAAAAGGCAGGAGAAGCTGTAAATCTCTCTTCACCGGTAAGAAGGTCTACTTTTCCTTCCCTAAGGTAAATGAAAAGAACAGAAACTTGTTTTGGGGTGCTGAGAACCTCTAAAAAATTACTGAATCTAGTGATTTTTCTCTACTGTTTTTCAATGGTGTCTGGTTAATCAAAGAGTCCAGCTACTCATATGCCTAATCAAACACTCCCATTGCTGTGGGCAGAATGCAATAACTGTTGGAGCAGTCTGAAACACGGAGCTGGCTGTCCAAAAGCCCTGAGATGCTGACTTTTAAAGACACATCTTTAGGCATACCTTCTCATTTTTTTTTTCTAGCTGAATACAGGGGGGAGCATCTCCCCATAATTTTCATATTAAAGCACTCTTGAAACATTCTCATCTCCCCTTCCCACACAGGTGATTCTCACAGTGGACTCATGCTGCAGTACATTACTTTTATTTTACTACAAGAGACATTTCCACAGGATATCCAGGTTAAGCCTTGCAGGGTGTTTGCACTGGGCCATGTCCAAGGCAGCAGGGGTGGAAGACACCCCTGCCTGTGACCTCAGCAGGGACATCAGCCAGGCTGATGCTCTTTGCTCTCGGATTGCTGCTGTCCGGCAGCACAAGGGGTCCCAAGCAGGTTTCACTTACAAAACCCACGATTTGCACTTTGGGCTTTAAAAATGAAGTGGAACCACACAAGTAAAGCCAAAGTAGACACCAATGGTATGGGCTTTGAATGCAGCAGCTTGTTCAAGCATGCCTGTGGCTATGAATGTGCCCTTCCATACCAGTGATGGCCCAGCTCCCCCGGGTGCAGCTATTAACTTCCACTGTCAATAAATGATTAAAGAAATCTTTAACCGAGGTTTCAGCACAGAGGCTGCACACTCCAAATGAAATGCCTCAGGCTTGAACTCCCAATCTGCTATTTCTTCCAACCCAAATGTCAATAAAAGCATTGTCAGGCCTCTATTTTCAGCCAGTTGCATCTGCAGATACCAGCGCACCACACTGATGCTGGGTGTAACGTGCAGATTCCACAGAATTGCCAATAGCTGCTGAAGAGTCCCATGAAGTTTTCTCCTAACTCAAGAACTTTTTGCCATGAGAACTTTGGAAGAAGGATTTTTGCTGTTTCCATGTGAATATTGCACCAAGAAATGGAAAGCAGTGGCTGCCTGGGTCGCTCCTGTAAGGGTTTGAGCTGTGAGCACAGGAAGCAGTGAATCAAGCTGGACAGCTGGAGGAAAACCTGGCATGCTCTGGACTATAAACAAAGAGAGGATAAGTAGGTCCTGTCAGTCACTGCAGAGGCCTGACTGTGCCAGAGCCCTGCACTGACAGGTCTCTGCTGCCCGCAAGGTGGTTAACTCTAACCCCAGAGAGCCAAGCCCTGCACTCTCTCTATGGCTCTCATTCAGACCAGCTCCTTGGGCTCATTCATACCAAACAAGAGCCTTCTTAAGAGCGTGGGGTTTTTTTTTCCTTCTGGCTGTTACCACATCCCCAGGCATTTCATTCCTTTTTTGCATTCAGAAGTTATATTCCAGCTCATGTACACTATAAGAGCTCAAAACATAAATAAGTCGTATAAAGCAAAATGCAACTTGTTCAACTGAGTTAAAATTTAGGCAGCAATTAACACTTGCATTTGCAAATCCTACAACATGGCCCAAAGCTTCTCCTTAAGAGCTGCTTCTCTGGCAGCTGTGCACAGGGTAACCCAGCAAAAATAATGGCCTTTATACAGCAAATACTTGCATTCATACCCTGGCTACCCAGGCCTGGCTCTCCCACAGCGTCACTCGCCCATCTGCATGGAAATATTTACCTCCATTCCTGACTGCTGGATTTTTAAGCGTTTACTTAGTCACAGTAATAGCTGAATGAAAACCAAGGTCTCCTCCTTCCACTGCGTGCCATGACCAAAGCAGCCCACGCTCCTGTGGCCAGCCATGGGGTGACATTCCTCCCGGTGGCAGCTTTTGAAGTTTCCAAGTATGCTTTTCTTTCCACTCTGTAGCAACACTAAACCATTTCCAGCATTGTTGTGAAAACAGGGCTTTGTGAAGCCCTCCAGTTTTAGACTGAAACCTGAGCTTTTTGAGTTGGAGTAGAAACACACTGGATTTTCCAGATGCAAGTCTTTGCTGTGCTTGATTCAGTGTAGTCTTTCCCGAATCAGGCAGAGGAAGGACCTGATGATGCTCATGCAAGTCCAGATCCTTCAGGTACTGGGGCAAGTCACCCTTGGAGACTGGAAGGAACTCAGTCTGCTCTTTAGACTGTGATACATTTAGTGAAACCACTCCTGAAAAATCAACTAAAGTTCTTATAATGGAGAAAATTCCATCCAGGGTTTAGCTGGGATTTCTCTGGAGGTAAATAATCCACCCCCTGGATTGCTGAGCTGCACTGCCTACATACAGTCCTTCATACTGATGCCACTGAGTCCTAAACCCTGCATCCTATTTATTTTGCACAGTAGTGTCCAGCAAGCACAAAGAACATCTCCAAATGACATCCTTCCCTTGGACTGAGCTGCAGGAAAGCCCAAAAAAGCAGAAGGAGACAGTGTATTCCACTAGACAGCAGAGATTTTAATACATCAAACTACAGATGCAGAGCAAGATAGGAAACTGATGAAAGGTACTCATCAAATTCACTCACAAAGATGCTCCAGGCAATCAGACCTCATTTTAAACCTGTTCTGCAAGAAATCCTACTTTGGGCACCTCCTCAAACAGAGGTGAATGTACTGGCTTGCTTAGAGAAGACAGTAGAAAAAAAGTTATGCACTTTATACAGCTAAGCATGAAAATGAAAAAGGGCATTTTATTTGTGCTTGCAATAAGAATTCTAAGAGACTCGACATGGTCTGCTGCAATACTGAACCATCAATTGCATGGATCAGGCACACAAAAAAAAAAATTAAGAAAACTTCTGAGCTTTTGCAATTATGTGCCACAGCACTCTGCAAGATGAGCCCCTTCTTAAGATTATTCGTTAAAATATCAAGCACTGAGGGTAAGTACTGGAATGGTGGACTTAGGCATTTTGTGGGGTCCCTTCTTACAAAAAAAGTTTCCTCAAATGCTCAGAGAGGAGGGAATCCCTATTTCCAATAGTGCTGGAGCAGAATTACAAACTGCACTGCAGTTCACGTGTGTGTATGTGTGTGTGGAAAACGAGAGCATCCTCACGAGGGACAAGGACCTCGCTGTGGGTGCCGCGGTTCAAGGTGCAAGTGGGGAACGATACAAGCTGAGTGTGGGGACCGGTGCCCGGCAGCGCGACAGCCCGTGTGTGGCTACTGCTGCTACTCCTCATCCCATCGCTTAACACACAGCGCTCGGGCAAACATCCCGGGGAGTGCATACCCTGAGCAGAAGCGGCTGCAGCCGCTTCCATTAGAAATATATATAGAGCGAGGGGTATAAATAGCAGTTAATTGCTTTGGGAGGCGAAGGTGAAACCCCCGCGGACGCGGTCCGTGCCCGGAGCGCGGGTCGCCGCCACCCGCACCGGGGGCACGGCGGGGATGCGCGGAGAGCCCCGGCAGTGGCCAGCCCCGGGCACGGGGACCGCGGGGACAGCGGGGACAGCGGGGACCGCGGGGACAGCGGGGACAGCGGGGACCGCGGGGACCCGCGTCCCGCCGGCTGCGGGCGCACGGCAAAGCGGCTGCGGGGGGAGGCACCGGGAAGGGGGGGCGGGAGGAGGCGAGAACACAGACGGCAACAGAGAGCACCGAGGCGGGTCTGGGGGACAAGCCGCCTTCCGGAGCGGCGTCCGCAGGGCCCGGGGCGGCGGGAGCGGAGCGGCCCTTACCTCTGCCGGGCTGCAGCGGCGCGGCCAGGAGGAGGAGGCGGAGGAGGAGGAGCGGGGGCGGCCGGCGGGCGGCGGCGGGGGCCGGCAGCCCCCCTCGGCGGGGCATGGTGCGGCGGCCGGGGCGGCCGGGCTGCCCTTCCCGGCCGGGCCCTCCCCGCCGCCTTTTGTGCGGCCGCGGCGGCGGCGGCGGGAGGAGGAGGCGGGGGCGGCGCCGCGGAGCTCCCGGGGGCGGCGGGACGGGACGGGGCGGTGTGCGGTGCCGCGGTCCGTGTGCCTCTCCGCGGGTCCGTGCGTGTGCCTGTCCCGCTCCCGAGGGTGCGCTGCCGCCTCCCCGCCCCGCGCAGGGAGGCGTAGCCCCGTCCGGAGCGGGACCCGCGGGCACGGCCGGGCCCCCGGACACGGACACGACACGGACACGACACGGACACGGGCACGCAGAGGCTGCCTCTGCGGTGCACGGAGTGGCACAGCCGCACCGCACGGCGCACACGGGCACGCACCCCGATGTGCCCGCAGGCACACGAGGAAGGCGCGCCCTCCTCGCCGCTCGCAGCGGGGCTTGCACTCATTCCCCACGGGTCAGTGCCTGCTCTTACGTGGCGTTTTTGCCGCTTCAGGGGTTTTCTCTGTGCAAACAGACTGTGTCCATTTACTGAAGGGCTCTTTGGGCCAGGGCACCCGGGCAGCGCTGCACTCACCGTCTGACGGCTTTTTGGCACGGTCCGCGCCCCCGCCGCCTGGGACATCAACACTTCAGATCGAAAGGAAACATCGGATTTGTGATCGTCTTTGGGTTGCTGGAGAACATTCTGTGTTCTTCTGCTTTTAAAATAAATCGTAAATCATCCCTAGAGCTCGTGGTTGATTTTAAAAGCAGTTTATAGTAACAGGTAACTTATCCATGGTCTGCAGACCTTCATGACACCCTTATGTCTGCTAGATCTCACCATCAGATTTTGCTTAAAACACATGTTGTGTTGCTGTTCTCAGGCCGAAGTGATTAACTGCAACGCCACCTGCCAAAATATCCCTTACCTGCATTGATTTCCAAAGCTGCTTTCACAAACCTTGCTGATTTCTTCAACCTCTTCATACCCCCGGGAGAAACGAGGTTTGGGTTTAAAGTGACTATTTGTTGTTTTAGGAAATACACACCTAAAAAAGTTGTAACATTGTAACTGTCCCAGTGCTGCTAAATCAAAACAAGTCCCAGCGTGGCTGTGGCAGCATCACAACCCTACTGCTTGCAACCAGTGCAAAAAATATCACTAAATGCCTCATCAAAACCTCTGCCGTGGTAGGAGTGTGGTATGTGGGACAGGCAGTAACCTACAAACTGCCCTCAAGCTGTTGGTTGTGCCTGGGGAAAGGGACAGCATCAGCTCTCCCTGTTATCACAAAAACATAAGGGGCATGCTGTCACCCTTTATTTATAATAAAATTAATACTGGCCATGTTGGAACTGACCTGGATGTGCAAGATGTGGTGTGTGGGATCTTTGAAGTAGGTTATTCCTCTGTGGAATACTTCTAATATTCCTGGGGGGGAAAAAAAAAAAAAAAAAAAAAAAGTGAAATGCAGATCCCGCCACACTTGCAAGAGAAAAAGCATCCAATATGAGCATTACTGCCCAGAGAAGCCTTGTGTAGACCTAGAAGTCCCTTCTTGGATCTTCTGGCCATGCCCAAGCAAGTACCCCAAGACATGACTACAACTATCCATGGATAGACTCATGTTTGAGAGCTTTAAACTATGCCTGGTTGTAGGAGCAGGGAGACACTCATCTTTCATCCCTGTGTCCTGCCATGCTGCCCAGGGAGCACTGGGTGAAGGAGCAGATGCCCAGAGGCAAGTGGCAAATGAGCAAGGGGGAAAAAGGAAAAGCAGGGCCATGGGGTAAATAAACTACTTGGAGGGAGGGAAACCACCTTCTGAGACTCAACTGTGGCATCTCAAGGAGCAGAGAAGAGGGCTTGAGGAAGCGAGCAGTACTTTGGGAAGGAATGCATGGCAGCAGGACCAGAGCCAGGCGAGGCGCAGGAGCTCCCCAGTCACTGTTCTATTTAGCTGGGCTCAGCTGAGGCCGAGCTCTTCCTGCAGGTGCCTGTGCCACTGGCACAAGCACCTGGTGCTCACTGTGCCAGGCTGTCCTCATCCCACAGACCCCATGAGGAGCCCCTGAGAGAAGGAGGAAGTGCAGGAGCTGCTGTGTGCACTTTTTGGGCAGTAAGATGTTGTCGATGCTCCACATCTCCTATCGGTCATTGTGTTTTTCAAGCCAAATCCTTTGAAGGTCCCTCAGAGTCACAGGTGGTTTGTCCTATCCCAGTGCAGCACCACTGACCAACTGCCCACTGTGTGGTGTGCACAGGGAAAACCTCAGGAGCCACAGGAGAGGACGTGCTGTGGCTTCCCTAATGAGAAGAATGTTAACACCCTTCTCTGAAGTTGGTGCTGTGCTCTTGCCCTGCATGCAGCAGCAAAAGAGGATATTATTTCACAAATGGCCAAACAAGCATCTGTAACACCAAGAGGGGGAATTCATGGTGAACATGAGGTGGGCAGTTCATTTCCAGAGAAAGAAGGCAGCCCTGTGTCCCTGAGGCTGGCCACAGACCAAGAAATGAGGCATGAGTAGAGGTAATGTGTGGCCTGAAATGAGATCCACAGAGAAGGTGTTGGTATAAAACCTTCCTGCTTGCAGGTGACAATGTGTTCTGGTTGTTTTTCTGGAGTCAAGGATGGGGTGGCAGTAGATGCCCCCAAAAAAATTGCCTTCATGTATGAAACCAGATAAGGCCTTGATCTTCCTCCTGGGATTCCCTTGTTCTGAATAAGGGATTGAGAAATAAAGCTTTTAATGCCCCAGTCTCAACAAGATTATTATGTACTCAGTAGAAGATGAGTTTGAGGCGGCAGCAAGATTTTGGGAAGAGGATTGAAAAAAGGGCTCTGTCTCCTGGGGATTGTGAAAGGGTGACCTACAACAAAGTCTGTCTTGATCTCCAGGAACAGCCGCCAGCACAGCCTTGGTCTTTTCTCTCTTGACCATCTTGTCTTCTGTCTACAAAATGCCATTCTTAAGGATCACAGAGTCTGTGAGATCCCTCAGGCTCCTTCAAGTATTTATGTGCCCATAAATACTTGCCAAGGCCCTTGGACTTGGGTTTTCAGTGTCATTGCACAGTTTTGCTGTAACAGAGAGAGGACAATCCCTATTTGGAAAGGCCTGATCTTTCTGTTCACTTTCTTATCACTTACACTTTAACCTGTGGTTAAAGTAGGACATAAACCCAGGGTATCTGACCTGGGCATGGATTTGAAAGTGATGTAATTATAAGTTGATTCTTTTTCTCTTTTATCATCAGTTAAAACAAATAAAATCATTTATCTGAGATACTCCAGGTGTTCTACAGATGAGTTTTCATTGTCATATCTTCCTTGGGGCAGAAAGGGTGGATAAAAGCATCTGAGTCACATCTAGATGTCTGCCATGGCACTAAAGTTGTTCTGGATTTTCAGTGGTGATTCCATCTTCTCTCTGCACCAGTCTGAGCCACTCCCAGGCCCTTGCACAAAGCCACAGCCTCTTTCAGGGTGAAGTTCCACCTCTGTCTTAGTGTTTCACAAAACACAGCCACTCTCCAGCAGCAAAGTCCTGGGACATCTCTGACTTTCTCCCATTTCTAGATTCTGTGGCATAAGTTTAGGTTTGTTACTTCAGCAGGTCCTGAACATGCCTCAGTCCTTTGGTCAAAGCAACTCTCCATACAACAAAGGATGGCCAAACTGGAATTCAGATGGTAAAAAAAAAGTGGACTGCTTTATGGTTTTAATAAAAAGGAGTTTTAGGAGAGCTAGGGTCAAACTGGGATGGCAGATCAGGGATGTGACATAAAAGGCAAACTCACTGGAACCTTGGAAACCTCCACTGTGTTACAGTTATTGTGTTAGGAAAACACTTCATTTGCCTTTCCAGGTCCTTACCATGTTGTTTCCTGGTTCCTCCTGGCTGTGCCATGATGGGAAATAGGGGAGCAGAGACGCAAGCTGTGGGCACTGTGCAGCTTTGCCATCCCCACACTGCCTCCTCCCACGAGTGAGCCCACAGATGGGGCTGCTGGGGCTTTCATTACCATGGAAAAGGTTTGTCTTCTTCTTTTTCCAAGGAAGCTGTAAAAAAATACAATTCACACAAAATACTTGTTAGTAATAGGCAACTACCACATGCCAAAAATTACAATAATAAATTTAATCTTATTTCTATTCTCTGGCTAAAGATGCAGCACATGCTGTTGCTGCCTGCTATAAAAATAGATATTTTTACCATCTAAGGGCCAGCCTCTGTTCTCAGATACTCAAGAGCAACACTACTCCCAAACAACTCCTGACCTGCTGAAGAGCAACATTGCATCACTTCTGGAAAGCAGAGAACAGCACCTAAAGTGGTTTTGCCAAGTTTTGACCCTCTAATAGATGAAAAAAGGCAGAACTCAGAATAAATCTCTGAGCTAGTCCATGCCTGAAGCTGCTGGGCTGGAAAGTGAGGGAGGTACAAGGGGGAGACTTTCCTCACGCCTCTATGGTGCATAAAGTTGAGACAGGGGTGATGAAGCCAGACCAAACCTGACCAAGTTTTGGGGCGCCTACAGCCCCTGGAGCAGGCTGGCAGGCACCTGGCTGCCTGAGAGAATGTTTGTAGGAGGGGCTCACTGATGTGCTGAACTGATGGATATCTCCAGCCATGACCCATCCCAAAAAAATATGCCCCAATCCCCAGAGTTAAGTAATGCACTATCAGAGGGACAGGCGTGGGAGTGTACTGGGCTGGGACACAGGAGAAGGTTAAAAATTAGCAGCTCCATGGCAACCTGTCTGTATCTATTAATGGTTAGCCCCAAGGAAAGCGTGCTCTTTCGAAGGTTTTGCCTTGGGTGTGCCTTATCCTGCAGCTGCAAAGAGCCAGCCCCATCTGGTGGCCGGGGCTCTGCCCGGTGGTGGAGAGGGAGGAGGCTTTGACAGCCGGAGGTCCGTCCTCACCACCCTGCAGGGAAAATGGAAAAACTTTCTGCCTGTCTGCACATCTTGCCTCACATAAGCTGGTTCCACTTTGGTTGGCATTCCGGGAGAGCTGCAAAAGCCAGGAGAAAATGCTGGATGCATCTGGCAGGGGGTTTCCTTTGAATAAAGAGAAGCGTAGTTAAATACAACCTAAAATGTCATCAGGTAGAGCCAGCTAGGCTTGGCTCCACTCAAATCTCTGGCAAAATTCCCACTGAGTGGACTAAATGTTCCAGTCTTAAGCACCTTGGTGAGCAGAGTGCTCTGGAGGCACAAACGGGTTTCCAAGGAATTCACCTGGATCTGTGCAGCCTGGACCTCACAGTGCCCCATGCAGCTTTTTCAAATCACAGCTGACACCTGGCTATTCAATCACTATCTGAAATAAATCACTGAACTCCGCTTTCTTGCTTAGTTTTCTGGCAAGTGGGTTTTGCCCAGCATGAGCTTGCTGCAGAATCTGTTCACACCAATCTTGGAAGGACAAAACTGTTGAGAAATGCTAAAGAGTCTACAAGGAAAGATCTTGCTTTGAAAAGAATAATAATGTACACATGTTGTAACACAAGTGCAGCACAAGCCCTGTTTCAGTTATAGGAATGATATACAGGCCCAGGCCCACAATTCCTCCCCAGAGACCCCTATTCCCATTAATGTCAGTACAAGTTAGGCACTGAAATACCTGCCTGGGCTTGACCCCTGTTTCTCACCAATTTAAACATTCCTCTGCTTGAGAGGGGATTAAGAACCTTAGCACTATAATGACCTCTTGAATTCATTGACTGTTC